GAGTTACAGTACATAAAAATATTTTAATCTGACATAAAGGGCAACAATAGATCTGACTGCTGGGCTGATAATCTTCTTATCACCCTCTGCGAACCTAGCTCTAATATTTGACAGTGTGAGTTTCCATTACTTTGCATTCTGTAAAGGCCAACAATGGAGAAAGAATGAAGTGGAGTTTGGAAGAACCTCCATATCTACATAAAAGAGATTAGAGGCGACAGCGTTCCATTTTACAGCTCAATCATATTGTGTTAGCATGCGCTTATCCGAGCGCGGATGAAATTGAAAAAGAAATAAAAAAGAGTCAGGCAGATAGGAACCAGAATAGCGAGGCAAGAGCAATTTCCAAAGATATAAAGGGATGCTAATGGTAGGGCCCTGTCATTCTTAAAAAGGGCTATTAGGGCACCCTCATCTGTTCTTCTGCCTTTACTCTCCTCTCAAGTCAAGAATTTCTTAGTGCTATCATGATCATTTTCTTCTGCAAATAAGACACGGTCATGTTTCACAGCAACCACTCTTTTCATTTCTTTGATTTATTAATGCAACTAAGCTAATTCGGTTGCTGATAAAGCCTATCAATTCATATATAAATGTTACATTTTTCTGCAGAAGAACAGAAAGGCTTATTGTACATGCAAGTTACAGAAGCACGAAACTATTAATGGAATTTATGGCACAGGCACATATTTAATAAGATCAAATAAACTAGAAACAATCATTCAAAATTTTCAGTTGCAAACTTGAAAAGTAGATCAAATTTTTATGGGATACAGATATTTCGTCTAAGTTCAAATTTTTAAAATCAAAATCCTTTAGATACAAATGATACCCTATTAAATACCTTTAGCTCCAGTCTTATATCTTCCTATCTATGAATGTTCTATTGAACTTTATGTATAGAGTGGAATAGGTTAATTTTTATCATAAAAATTAATAATGTTATCTCAATATATATACTAGCATTTGTGGCATACACATATTAGGTACACATAAGAACATATATGTATACTTTTTGCTATGTTGTAAAACACCCTTACTTAAAAAGCAATGTGCAAATTTCTAAATAAATGATGAGTGTTTTGTAAAGTATCTGACTGTGAAACATTTTGAAAATTATCTTTCATACAGAAGGCATCCATATATGTGTGTGTGTGTGTGTGTGTAATACACACACAAACATAGTTGAATTATTCTGTTATTTTGTTATTTTAAAAAATCCAGCAGCTTCTCATTATTTTTTAATTTCCATCAAATGGCCATGATAAATCAGCCTGTGGATTACTGTGAACTGTCTCCTGTTTAAATATTCCTCAATAGCTCAAAACTATTTCTGATTCCCAATCTCTAATTGAGAATGTCTAAACCAGCCAACAGATCACTGCTAACTAGCTATGCTGTGGTTCTCTGCTGTTTTTCAGTTACTTTCTTCTATCCTATAAACAAATCTCAGCCCTGTATTGTATTCCTAATATAAATCAAATTGATAAATATATTTTGCAATCCCCAAAATGCATTATTGACTGGCCTCTAGGGAGAATGCCTACTTATTGGTAAGACTGACATAGGCATTGTCTAGAGTTGAAACTCAAACTCACCTATTTAACTAGCTTTGACTTAATCTGGGGTGCTTTATTAGCAACCAGTGTAAGACAAAGTAGCTAGTATAATACAGAGTGATGTTTAAATTAGTTTACAATTTGCTTGGGCTCATCTAGACCTACTCTGAACAAAGCCATTCAGAAATGTCAGCTGTGTTCCTAACCACTGTAACAAATTGTTGCCTGAACGCTGCACACCTAATGACTTCAAATTAGCTTCACTGCGATATTGCCTGACAGTTTGTTACGTCTGTTAGTAACATAGCTGGTGTATCATGACCAATAAATTGGTTTCAGTGTGGGCTGGGAAAGGGGCTTCCATCAATTTGATTAAAGAAATTACTGTAGCATTCAAAGCATAAAGACAAACTAGTTTAAGGAGACAGAAATAAGTTAACTGTACCAGAAAAACATTGCTCATGATTCAAAAGCTCGTTTATAAGCCATTGGTGATGCAAACTCTGAACAACTAAATTTCTACAGTGAAGAAAACATGGAGCAGCTCAGAGCTGTTTCCATCCCATCAAATTATGTTTTAGATGTATATTAATAATTGTTTAGCCTTTGGTTTCAGAAAACAATTAAAATAATTGAGAATTCTATTTTATATTGTTTACATTTCAGTGGCAAGGGGCCGTTATCTAGATCAGCATTTAGGTGGCCCTAAAGAGAAAACAAACAAATAAATGAAAAAAGCATCACAAGCGAAGCTACATGCAAAGTCTCAGTTATGTACTGAAATTCTGAGGATAAATGCAATTATCTTAAATGAGTGAGAACTATTTACATATACAGACCAGTTTCTATTAAAGAATCACAGAATAGAGCATGCATTTTTCCCAGAAGAAATTTGTCATCCATGAGATACCCTTGATCAGAGAGGATGAGATGGACATCCTATACTAAACCTCTAGTCACAGTAGGCCATGCAACGTGGAAAGCCATATAACTAGGTCATGTTGATAACAAAAGCATGTCATGCTATGATATGACAATGTAGATAACGTTCTCTACATGTTTTGCCCCCAGAAATCAAATCAAAATTATCAAGTAGATTAATTTTAAATCATATCCAGTTTGTAAGAGACTTTTTTATTCCAGACAAGAGGTGTGTTTTTGAATAGGAAAGAGGAAGGATTTGTCTTTTGTTTTGCTTTTGCAAATATTTATAACACTTAGAAGTTCTTCTCCCCCCCCCCCCAATTTACAGCTATGCTATCCCAAATAGTGTTTTTATTCTCTGGAGTAGATTGGAATGAAGTGGGGAATGTATTTGGAAAATAAAATAAAAAGACATCAATAGATGTAGTAATAAAAAATAAAAATTAATTTGTACTAGTTGTACTAGAGTCACTTCATATCCTCAATAGACAACAAAAATGATAGTAATAAAATCCCAATAAAATTAAGTAACATAATCCTTAACAAATCTATTTTATTCTATTTAAATTCATCTCATTCTTTCTGAAACAAAATGCTTGACAAATAGACCAAAGAAATATTACAACTTCCAATTAAAATATAGAATTCTGGTCCACAAATAAATAGCTAATAAAAAGATATGAACAATCAGGGATTTTGCACATGAAAAGATATAACAAAGTATTGCAAACATTATAGAAGCAGCAATACAGGAATTTTGATTACACCTTTGCACAAGGTCAAAATCTTTGTAAGTAAAGATACAGTTAAAATCTATCAGTAAAACAGACCATGCCCAATAAATTAAACCTGACATTAACAGTCAGTCCTGCTTATCTCCCAAAGGCCTACCTGATTTTTAAATTAAATTAATTTTATTTTATTGCCTGCTTGCAGAAGGATAACAGAGTGGGAACTCAACTATGCTGCCTTGGCAGTTAGCTGCAAAATCTGATAGCAACCATCATTCCCTTTCCATGTAACTCTAGGGGTGGTAGAATAAGAAAAAGGTCTCTTCTATGGACCCAAAAATCTCAAACAACCTTATCATGGATACCACAACTTTTGTATAGGAGTGCTTCTGAATTATAGGTGAATTGTGATCCCTCCATGGACCAAGGGAACTCCATGCTCCTGGCAACAAACTCAGTAAAAAGACTCTCTTTGGTTGGCTCCAAGCACCCTTCAAAATCAAACTCGCCAACAGTGCCCTCTGCTGCTTTGCCTCGGGCTGCAAGAAGCCTTGAACCAGCTCTGAGTAGGAAGATGATTGCTCTGAAAGTGGGCTAGATATCACATAAAGTTTGAAAAAAAAGTCAAAACTGCTTCACTATAGAGTTTATTATAAAATTAAGCTTGTTATTTTCTTTAAAAAAAAATCTGAAGATATGGAAGTGGAATGCTATAGCTATTTTAGGGCACTGAGTGAAATGCACAAATTCAGCCTTTCATCTAGTTGAGGCATGAATAGGTATTTCTTTTTTTGTCTTCTCACCTCCTGAATTTGAGATCTTTGGAAAAAAAAAAAAATGACAGCTCTGCAAACTGTCCGGTCTATTAATTCACTAAGCAGTTAAGGGAATGGAGAACTATTATATCCATGCAGGCATCTCAATTCTCTAGGGGAAAAAAGATGTCCCAAATCAAATCTGAAGTATCAGTGTGTTTCTGTGTGTGTTTGTGTGTGGAGGGAGTCTATTTCCATTAGACCCCATCCACAATTCCAGTGGAGGCAGCTAATGGAAAGAGGTGAATCTTTCTTGCATATGCTCATTGTGCATATCTTTAACATGTTCTTGAATGTTCAAGTGACAAAAAAAAACCCATTGTGGGAGTTAAACAGATCCCTTCCTATTTTGTTCAAAATTAAATAACAATATTTTCAATTCCTTTCTTCTTTATATCCCAACAGAAGTATCAACAATATGTTGTACCAATGTGTGAGCAAGACAGTTGTAACTTGTTCTACTCTCTTGCAAGTGGTGGAAATAACATGGTGGGATAAGCTGGAGGAAACCATGTCCACTTTAATACTTCAACATTCAAGTGCTCTTTTATTAGATGCTCCTTAAAAACATACCATAAGTTGGCCAGATACCCCTAGATTCCTAACAAAATAATACATAGATTTTACAGGGAGGCTATAACAGTACAAAGAAACCCACATACAGAAAAAAGTCAAATGGGCTTTCTTATTGAATGTATTGAGAGCTATCCAGGCAGAGGAATTTATCTTTGGAAGTAGAGATCAGTGGGAAAACGTAGATAGCAGGCTAGACCAAGTGTAATGGGACACAAGGGCTAGGGATATGGAATATGTTAGCCTATCTTTGAAGACATATTTACAGTTGTTGTAATAATTATTAAAATATTATGCAAGCCATGTTTCAGCCACACTGAAATAGCAAAAGCATACACTGAAAAATAATGCCATAAAAACGATGAAAATAGCATTTGAGTAAGATACATAGCATGTACCTGGAATATGCTTAGCCCATCCAATAATGACCACCAGCTCTCTGTCTGCCAAATCACAAAGTGTGGTGAGAGCCTTGATGTCACTGTCAGGCACAGTGGGATCAGGCATGGCATAGATCTTCTCTGGTTCAGCCACCAGCAAATGGGAGACAATCTTGTTATCTGTAAAAACAGATCAAAGATAGATTACTTTACTTCTGTAACAACCCAAACTGCTACTATAACAAAGTGGGAATTTACACCCTCCCTTACATAAAAAGATTTGGGTACTTTGGTAGATCACAAGTTGAATAAGAGCCAACAACATAATGAAGCTGCAGCAAAAGTAAATCCAGTCTAAAGAGTGGGATTATGAAGATGGAATTGTTACAAATCTACGGATGAAACAAATAAATTGGGGCTTATGCAATATGTAGTCCCTCCATCCTCCTACTCAAATGTATCCATCACTGCCCATCAGTAAGAGAGAAAAGTTGCTAGTCAACTTAAAGCACAACTGTAAGAAATTTATGATGATTGGATTAAAAAAAAATCAGAGTTTTTAACTGGAAGCTAATCGAAGAATATTCTAAGAACATTTTGATCTAGGAAATGCTGCCACCAAATTAATAACATTCAAGAGAATATAGTCTATTTGGAACCTTTGAAATTATAGGCTTTTCCACATGGGAAAATAGTGATAAGGATAAATTAAATACAAATGAAAAAGTTAAACTCTTTAATTTCTAATAACTGCCTCCAATTAGCATTTTCCATCACTAAAACTAGGTTTTATCCAATGTGAAGAATTCTATTTGCAATATTTTACAGCCCCTATTCTTTTTCTCAGCTCCATTTTTAATGAACATCTTTTGCTTTGAAAATATCAGAAGACCAGAAAAGACCAGAAGAAAATCTACATGTAGTTGTAGAACTACATGATTCGTGGTAATTATAATATTATGAACAGAGGACATTATTCTCACATAACAGGAGCTAAAATTAAGGATATACCAAATGGACACCATTACAAAGTGAAAACAAATTGAATTTAATAAGTACAGATCTATATTTACTAATTATACCAGTATTAATCTCATTGTATTTTTTACAATCCATTTTAGTCAAGAGCAGGTATTTCAAGGTCTTATATAGTCATCATGCCACATATGTATCCAACATTTTATGCTTTTTGGAGTGAGATTCATGTATCATTTATACCATCTGTAGATTTGGGTCAGAACATTATGGAGGAAATGCTCTATCCTAAGGAAGGGAGAAAACATTTACTTCAGTTCATCAGTGCTTTCTTCTTTACAGTTGAAAAGTTCACAAACACTCTTTATCAAATATCCTGGTTATTATGACTTGTTTTATCTTAAATTGTTATGATCAGATCAGTATGATTTTACTTCTTTTACTATGGCTAAGTATCATTCTATAGTTTGTACAGTGTGGTGTAGTGTCTCTTCTAATCCTTCTTTGTTCTAATTAATTGTGATTTTCTTGTTTTATTTGCTGGTCTATGACTGAATAAAAAATGATTGATTGATTGGCTGAACATTACAAACACTCCAGGGACAACATTATAAAACTAGCTAAAATAGGAAAAAGAATGTTAAGGGACAATATAAGATCCAAAATTGGTTTGAATATGAGTATGCAATATCAAAAGATGAACCCTTTTCAAATTGTACCCACCTCTTGGTGATTTCATAGATACATCCATGTAAATTTTTTTTGACAATAACACAGAACTAGTGTAGAATTTTAGGGTAGAATTCTAAAATTTCTTGGTTCTCTCTTATCCAAGTAGTAACCAGGTCCAATTTTGCTTAACTTTTCATGAGGGCCTGTTGAAATCATTGATCTAAGATATCTGCTCTAATATCTAGAATTAGGAAGGTAGCACTTTAAGGCTGGATCTTCACACCTGCAATAATTAAAGGGTACTGATAAAAGTTTTTATTTGCCTGAGTAGTTTAATATATACTAGAAGTAGATTTAGAATTATTATAGAGTTCTTTGATCTAGTGAGGTTTGCTGCGGTGCACAGTAGGTAGCTCCTTTCTGGAAGCAAAATGTCTTTGGCAAGTACTGGATTTTTTTTTTAAAAAAAGCATAAAACAAATGAGAATAAAACATATGTATGTTGTTGGAGTTATTTTTAGGAAGATTTTGTATTGTGTATATTTAGTTATTTTTTACATTGGCTAACAGATGCATGTGCGCCGTGGATTCCAGGTGGCTTTCAATTATAACACAAAAACACATATAAAACTGGAATAAAACATTCTGACATATACTAGGTAACTGGTAACCTCTAACATAGCAGTCTGCTTTGTACTGACCAGTCCCAATGATCAGTCAAGCCACCATTTTGGTCATCCTATGGGATGATCAGTGTTGGGAAACAAAACAAGGAGAATGTGGTCTTTCTCTCAACAGCTTTTAATACCAACAACCATAGTATTCATTTGGATAGGCTGTCTAAGTTTAGATGTGGGAGCACTGTAGTCTGTTGGTTCCACTCCTACTTCTATAGCTTTTTGGCTTCAGTGTGCTTTGGATTATTTCATTATTTTTTTAAGTTTGGTTGGATTTATTTTGGTTTTGTTTTTTTGTATTTTGTTTGTCTGGTTTCTTGCATTGTTATTTTCTTTTAATATATAGTAAATTAAAGCCAGTTTCAGAAGATGATGCCAAGGGATTACTTTTTGTGAAATCCCTCAGTGGTTCAATTCCTGCTTTACTCTATTCTACTTTTGTACTTTATTTTTTCACCACATTCTCTATCCTCATTAGTTCCCTTAGCCATTCAAACCAGTATCTAAACTCTCCAATGATGTTACTAGATAGATAGACTACTGGCCTATTTACTACTAAGACCAGAAGCCATCTCCTACAACTAGGCATTCCTACCATCAGGCCATCTTTCACCTGTCCCTCACCTCAGGTCTCTCATTCCTGAGAATAGGGATAACCTCTTCCCAATTTTGTCTCTAGAACCTCTTTCCCAAGTTTCCTTATTCTAGGAGGTACAGGCAGAGGAGTATTTCACCCAATTCCATGCTTGTTTTCACTTGCCTCTCTAACTTCTGCCATCCTGAACTGGAGCTCCTTCCATCCATGTAATTCCAGAAGTAGTCACCTCTTTCCTGGTGACTCAATGCAGAAGACAAGTCTCATACTCTGCATAGGTCCCATACCTCAATATCTAAGAGAAACAGCCACAGTTTCTCCCAATAATTCATTTCTTTACTCTTATAATAGGTACTTCCTGAGCTCTTCTTTTTCATTACCGCCATTTCCTTTATATCTTCCTATGTCAGGACAACCTACCAATTCTATCCTTTCATTTATTTTTCCTTCTCCTAATCATGTTCTCTGAAAAGTTCCAGATGTGGTTTCCCATTCTCTCCTCTTGAACATTTTCAATTCTACACTCTACACTGCCACTTCCTCATCATTCCTTCTTTTCCATGGTTTTTAACCTCTTTTTTTACCTTCAACTGAAGCTCCACTTCAATTCTCCCATCAGATTGCCTGCCACATTTCCAGTTTTAACAACTGCCACATGCCCATCCCCAGATGCTGTTTTCTCTGCATAACCTGGCTCCAATCTCCTTTGTCTCATAATATTTCATGGTCATTGGGCCCATTCAACCAGTCCACCCCATTCATTCAGCACCTCCCATATTTGATCAGGAAAAGGTAATGGAAGTTGTTATAATTATAATATTTCAGAAACTCATGGCTAATAATGTGATCAGCTAATTTCAAAATTCTTTACATTTGTGTATAATTCGTTTGCAACTAGGTGTTTTGGGGGGGAAAAACAAATGGGAAATTCTTGATGGTACTAACATTCATATGCCAGAAGTCCATATTTTAAACTATGGAATTTGTGAAAATTATTGTAAAATCTAATAATGGCTACCAATTCTGATACTTTCTGAAAGCAAAATTTAAAAATTAATAAAGGTTAGGTTTATCTGTGGGTATTAAAATATACCTTTGAGGGCTGTCTACCTTGGAAACAGTCTGAATCACCAGTTATAAATCTAAAATATCTGTTGCTATCTAGCTAGTGGAAGAAGGCTGATGTCTTATTTCTGATCTTCCTGGATGAATTTCATTAACCAGGGCTGTTCTTCTGTTCTTACAAAAATCTGAACAAAACCATCATAGTACAACTCATAAGATTCAGATCTTTTCAGACAGTAACTGTGAGAGGGACCTTGGAGTCCTAGTGGATGATCACTTAACCATGAACCAACAGTATGCAGCAGCAGCCAAAAAAGCTAATACAATCCTGGGTTGTATAAACAGAGGCATAGAATCAAGATCACACAATGTATTAGTACTGCTTTATAAAACCCTAGTAAGACCACACCTGGAATACTGCAGCCAATATAAAACCCTAGTAAGACCACACCTGGAATACTGCAGCCAATTTTGGTCACCATATCACAAAAAAGATGTTTAGAGTTTCGAAAAAATTCAGAGAAGAACAACTAAGATGATCAAAGGCCTGGAGACTAAATTATACATAGAATGGCTGCAGGAATTGGGTTTGGCTAATCTAAAAAGAAGAAGAAATAAGGGAGACATGATAGCCGTATTCCAGTATTTGAGGGGCTGCCACAAAGAAGAGAGGGTCACATTATTCACCAAAGCACCAGAGGGCACGACAAGAAACAATGGTTGGAAACTGATCAAAGAGAGAAGCAACCTGGAATTAAGGAGAAACTTCCTGACAGTGAGGACAATTAATCAGTGGAATAGCTTGCCCCCAGAAATTGTGGATGCTCCATCACTGGAGATTTTTAAGAAGAGGCTAGACAGTCACTTGTCTGAGATGGTATAGATTCTCCTGCTTGAGCAGGGGCTGGACTAGAAGACCTCCAAGGTCCCTTCCAGCTCTATTCTATTCTAGAATAAAGTTAAATGTAGGAAAAGCTGTGAACAGCTATTGCTACCTAGTGTGCAGATAGCTGAACAAAATGAACCAATGGAATACAGCTGCACCAATCCTAGAAAAAAATAAAATAAAAATGTATACACTAACTTTAGAAGATCATAAGACTAGACTGAATATTCTATATATTATTCACAGGAAATAGCTTACATTCTTCCTACATGATGCAAATGATTTTATTTCTAACAAAATGAAATTCAATGTAGAGAAAAGTAAGATTTTACATTTAGGCAAGAAAAACCAAATGCAGAGTTATAGAACAGGTTGCTCAATAGTAGTAACTGTGAGAGGGATCTTTGACTCCTAGTGGACAGTCACATAAATATGAGCCAGCAGCGTGCTGCAGCTACCACAAAAGTCAATGCAGTAGAAAGCTGCATTAACAGAGGTATTCAAGATCATGTGAAGTTTTAGTACCACTTTATAATGCTTGGTAAGACCACATTGAAATATTGTATCCAGTCACTATAAAAAAAAAATGTTGAGACTCTAGAAAGAATGCTGAAAAGAGCAACAAAAATGATTAGGGGATTGGAGGATAAAACATATGAAGAACAGTTGCAGAAATTGAGTATGTGTCAAGCTTGAAGTGCACGTATGATGTCAGCACCATTATGCTTCTCAGCTTGCCAATGCACTATGGGGGAAATGGAATGCAAAATCCAGACAACAAGAAGTCAGCCCATGTGAACCAAGGATGTTTCAGCAGGTGTTTGCAAACCCACAATATTTTAACACTTGATTGGACCATGTGACCTGCACTAATGGGAAGGAGAATTCTATACTTCAATTATAGTGGTTTGCATAGGAAATAACCAGATATGATTTTGCTTTCATCTGTGCCGAAATGATGTACTCAATAAAGTTTTGCATTAAGAGATTGGATCGTCTGCTTGCTTAGTTGGGTTCATTAGTCAGAACCTTGACAGTATGTCTAGCTTAATGAAAAGAAGGACTAGGGGTGATTTGGTAGAAATCATCCAATATTTAAGGGGCTGACACAAAGAAGAGAGGGTAACTCTATTCTCCAAAGCATCTAAAGGCAGGACAAGAAGCAATGGATGGAAACTAATCAAGGAGAGAAGCAACCTAGAACTAAGGAGAAATTTACTGACAGTTAGATCAATTAATAGTGGAACAACTTGCCTCCAGAGGCTGTGAGTACTTCAACACTAAACGTTTTTAAGAAGAGATTGGACAGTCATCTGGGTTTTCTGTTTAGCAGGGGGTTGGACTAAAAGATTACCAAGGTCCCTTCCAACTTTGTTATTCTGTTATTCATATCTTGTAATATTTGATTTTAAAAGGAACACTGCAGTTTCTGGAAAATGTTCTCACAATAATATTTTATAAAGATAAATGTTATACTTTTCAGCTTAAAGAGGGAAAAGGGAGAGTGTATAATTTCATGAATAGATAATACATTTAAGATCCCTAGGAAAAAAAGTCATTGAAATACATAAATTCATGTATGCACAATACTGGTTGAGCGAACATGCACATGAGCTCTAATCTCCTGCTTGATCAAGTTGAGAAAACCTGGAGGAAAATAAACTATAATTTCTCACACACTTTGAATTCTACTCTTTGAAATTTGAAAGTTTATAACAAGTATATTTAAATATGTAACCACTATAATAAATTCCATGTATTAAAAACATTCACAACTTGGTGAAAACAAGATGCAATTGCTGGTTATGTTCAGCATTTCATGCTAACTATGACCATCTTTCCATTTTTATCAATTAGAATCAATTTAACCAAGCAGTAAAGCTTAACTATATATAGAAATTGCAGCTCAGTTTTTTTTTCCAAAAAAGTAACAAAGCTCATTCGAAAAAGGTTTTTTTAAATGCTCCATTGTGTAATTTATTCTGGAGTTCTGATCTATTTGTCTCCAGCTTTTTACAAATGTGAATGTCAGAAAGGTGAGGTATGTCAGTCCTTCATAAAACAAACGCAAAAGCCAATTGCAAGGCATTGCATCAAGCATGCTTTATTATTATTAATAAGGGCTTCTTTGAAATGACAAGAGGAACACTAAGCCTGTAATGCATCACTTGTGAATACTGTTGATGTGGGGGAGGTAATGGGAAAAGGGCTGTGTTAAAACTAAGGGTATATTCTGCCTAAGGCATATCCTATACTCACATTTACAGAACAGACAATTAAAAACTGGTTTTAATCATATTATTAAAAAAGCCTAGGAGCTACATTTTCTTATGTCTCAAACTTGCAGGAACTATGGCAACAAAATAAATATTCCACGCCACCCCACCATGTTCCAATGTTCAAAACTGATTAATGATGAATATTTATATCTACAGATGATGAGCATTTCAGCAGTTTTTGAAAACCAATGAAGAGTTTTCCAACATAGTGTTAAATTTTGATTGGGAAAAAATGGTGGCGAGATGGACAGCAAACAAATTTAATAAACAGACAATACATAAAAACATACATACCAATGGAGATATTGTTATTATCGTAATTGATTGGCCTATTATCCAATATTGCTTTTTAACAGTTTGCCCTATCTTCTATTGGTATGATGGCTCAGTGGTTAAGATGCTGGGCTTGTCAGCTGGAAAGCTGGCAGCCCAGGTTCAAGACCTGAGTGCCTTGTAAAAGGGTGAGCTCCTATCCTCACCCCACCTCCTACCATAATAATAATAATAATAATAATAATAATAATAATAATAATAATAAAGTTGGAAGGGACCTTGGAGGTCATCTAGTCCAACCCCCTGCTCAGGCAGGAAATCCTATACCATTTCAGACAAATGGCTGTCATGCAAATGTGAATAGATAAATAGGTATTTCTTTGGTGGGAAGATAACAGCACTCCATGATAGCCACGTGACTGTGCAGAAATACCTCTGGACAGCACTGGCTCAATGGCCTTGAAACGGAGAGGGGTATCTGTAGTCGGCAATGACTAGCATGGTAAAATCCACAGGGACTCCTTTACCCTTATCTACCTATCTTCTATAACAAAATTAGCAAAAAAAAAAAAAAAAAACCTGCCAGAATCCAGAAAATCTCTCTACTTATTTCTTAAAAGCCATTTTACTGTTTCCTTGTTATATTTGCAAAAAAATGATTCCCCAAAAGTTGTACTTCTATTCCATAACAAAGAGGGAGGGGGGAGAGAATCAGGAATCCTTTACAATGTTATGTGAAAAGCTGTAAACTGTAAAATTTTAATGTTAAAATTTTCTAGTTATTTTCTTATATATACACAGTGCTTCTTTATTAATTCAAACTTACCTATAGAGAAGATACCATTTGAAATTAATAGGAGTTGTCAAAAAGCATGGTAGCATTCTTTAGACAGTGCCCGTTCATTGAGTATGCCTTTCTCAGGACTTCTCACTTCTGTATTACACACTTTCAATCTCCTACATTTTCTATCCAGCAGCATTAACCGAAGTCTGTGCTAAATAGGCTTAATTGTGTGTGCATGGGCCGAGCTGTCAGCAGTTCAACTCAATGGCACAAAATAAAATAAATAAAAAGCTGGCAATCTGGGCATCCAGAAAATCTAAACCTCTAATGAAATTAAATACAAGAGTTCATTGAATTTTATTGTATTATCAGAAAGTTTTTATTATAATGCGCAAAATCTGCTTAATGCAACCTTATATTGTATTTACAGAGGGGAAGAACAGCTTATGTGGACTATGGAAGATGCCAGATTGGACAATTGAAAGTATAATCAGCATAATGATTTTTGGAAAGGCAAAATGAAACGATGCCATATGTTCACTTAAGCCTTAATTTTATGTAAAACTGGTTTGTTTTTCCTCTGACATCGCTAAAATGCCCTTTCACTTGCAGTTCAGAACCTATTTATTTGCTTTCCAGATCTCCATATGGCTCATGCGTATTGTGTCCAGCAGAGCCCAGCGCTGGGGAATGCAGGTGAAAAACAATATACTGCTTTTTGTCACAACCAGGTAAGGGCCTTCAGTGCAGCTTTTAAAGCCCTTTTATTACATTTATCTCGAATAGGGCATTTGTACCCCAGTGGTTTATGCCATTACTTAGTGGCAGCCAGCTTGCAAGTAACATATGAAGGAATTCGCATTTATTGCCAATTCATCTTTGGACAGGATATGCAATTGATTTTTATATCATGGAGTGTTATTATATTTTCTTTAGGGAATTAGCATGCATGAATTTGTACAAATGGCAAAATCTTTAATTTTTAGTTTATATCTTGATTTTTAAGTACTATTTGCATGTAAGAAAACTCATACCTGTTTTAACTACATACACAAATACGTAAACCTTACCTTAATGTATTTTGTAGTTGTAGCACATTGCTATTTTATTGAAATACAGGTAGCATTTCAATCTTCTATTGCTATAAATTAATGAGGCTCCTAAGGCATTTTCACTGAGAGGTTGAGCAGTCAAATTCATCTAGTTAGTGAAAACTACAACATTTCATTCTTGTAAAATCTGAGACTAGAAGCTTCAATGAACTAATGATCCTAGCACAACCCATTTTATGTACCAGTGAAAATAAAGATCACCTGGAAGTGTAAAATTTTTATAGCATAAATTGGGCATTATCAAACTCTTAGTCTCAAAGTGTACTTTCTTCAGTTATTCTGAAAAAGGAACAAGGTGATAAAAATGGTAGACAAAATAATTTATTCAAGACAGTATGCTATTTTGTTCCTATGTCTTCATTGATTGATGACATTAAAGGTTACACTGCCTTACTAGGTACTTACATGGCTTTTTAGCTGGCTGGACTAGTTGAGGATTCAGGTATGGACTATTTTCTGCATCTATTCTGCGCTTGTACTTCTGGCGACCACCACGTACTCTGTCTAAGCGCACTCCTAAACATGAAAAAAGAAAAAGAAAAGAAAAAGGGAAAAAGAAAGAAAAAGAAAGATTTAATACTTTGTGCAATTATTTGAAAGCTTTCATAAATAAGCCAAAATTTCAATTTGCTGCCTATTAAACTACAATCCCATTTCCCACTTAAAAAAGCACTAAAAAGTGCTGAATATATTGTAAGCATGGAAAGGTCCTTGATTTTCTGTGTGAAATATTAGGAAAGTGAATCAATTTCCCATTTGAGAAAACTCATCAAGTATAATCCCTTCAGGGCATGTTCCTTATCTGCAAGTTCTAAACCATGGCAGTGTTTGGGTGTTTTTATTCTGCAGATAGTTATGCTTGTTCTTTAATCTTCCCACCATGAAAAGAAGCATAGGAAAATGGGGACAATTCTAATGGTGGTATCTGTTTTGGTGTCTCATAATGGTTGTGATAAGAACAAAACTGTGGCAACTTGGCTCTGAAAGTCTTGGAAATGTTGGAAGACTGAGGACAATGTCTTTGGTCAAGTACCTTCTTAGAATGGGCCACATTGCAATTCCCTAATATAGAGCATTTCAAACAGCAATGAAACAATAGTTAAAATAGTCTAAGAAACTGTACTTCCAGAAGCCTGGATAAATGAGAACATCTTCAATGCCAGATATCTGTTTCTTGGAACAAAGCAACAGAAATATAAGCAGTGGAAAAAGTCTTCTGCTTCAGTTGCTGCTCACATCTCCTCAGATACTGGACAGCCAAAGAAGAGTTTCTATCAATGACCCCAAGTCATGGGAAGATACATTGTGGGAATGTGTTTCTTTCAGGTACCATGGATCTGAGCAACACAGAGTTTGAATTATCCTTGGAAACTGAAACTGGAAATTGGTTAATTTTAGTTCAGCTGTATTATTTCAACACTGACATTATAATAGTCAAACTCTGCAATAGTTTTCAAATAGATCTCCATTGTAATAAGCTTTCTTTAGTGTTACCAGGATATAAATTGTAAATCTACAGTATCCAGAAGAAACTATACCAAGTCTCATGATGCTTTAATACAATGGTTCTCAACCTGTGGGTCGGGACCCCATTTGGGGTCGAACGACCATTTCACTGGGGTCACCAAACAAGGCTGTCTGCCATTTTTCCCCCTTTTCTTTGACCACGCCCCTGGCACCTGGTGATGTATAAGTGGTTGGGGGTCACCACAACATGGGGAAATGTATTATGGGGTCGCGGCATTAGAAAGGTTGAGAACCACTGCTTTAATACAAACTACAATATCTAGGCCTTCAGTGGTAAAGTGAAAGTATTTCAACCATGACTGTTTTTCCCCTTCAGAGAAAGAACAAAGTCTTCCTAAAAGAGCATAATCATACCAAATGTGTATGTATGTGTGAATGTATGTGTGCATGCGCATGAGTTTTGTCATGTTTGCTATTTCTCTCACAGTTGAATAAATCAAGAATTAAAAAGATTAATAAAACACTCTACAGCTCTTTCTGTAGATATAGTAAGTGTTCTATAGAAAGAGTTATAGCATCATATATGCTGATGTCAAGGAAAAGTAGTGGTGATGATACTCAAATGACATATACTAAGCATAATTCAAAACAGGCATTGATTCTTTTGTAGCATTTTTAAGAAATAAGATAAAGAAGAAATAAGTCAGGGCAAAGTTGTCAGAAGCTTCTGCCAACAGCAGTGAATACCAGAATGAAGTTCAAATCTAATTCACAATTGACTCAATTTAGAAGAAACAAATTTTCTGTTTGTATGTCAGAAATAGTACAGAATAAAAATGTTTTAAAATTATATACAATACTTTGGAATAGCATTTCTTGGAGCACAGGAGTGATAGTTTTCATAGTGTAAAATTGCATTCCACACATATGGCAAGTGTTATGAAACTGAATTTCAAGGGTAAAATTTAGATAAGATTAGCAGAGGCAATAAACAAACAAATATGACCCAAAGGATTAATATTTAAAACAGATAAAAGAAGAAGCATTAGAGCGATCTTTCATTAGAAAAATTGTCCCTTATAGGAGAATAAGACAACATTGTTAATTTAAGAACTAGAATGATAGGTAAAGTTAATAAACACCTTAAATGAAGTAATTTTTAAAATCTTAAAGTATGCCAATATGGAGAATAATGGGAGGAAGGAACATTACAAATACTGCTTTTTGAAGAATATAAATCTAGGAAATAAATAAATGTCTATTTTTGCTTTATTGACCACATTAAGGCTTTAATGCTATACATTACCGAAAAATGTAATAGCCTATAAAATGTAAATAGCCTTGTAGTCTTTGGATTGAACCATCAAAAATGCACAAAGAAAACCTGAAGTCTTTGAACTGTGAATGTTGGAGAAAATATTTTGGACTGCAAGTTAGTACAATATGAAGTAAATCCAGGTTGCTCACTGAAATTACAAAAAGTGAATCCAAAGCTTAAATATTTGGACATATAATACAAAGGCAAGACTCCTGAAGACTGGGCCTGATGCTTGGAAAAACCAAGATGAAAGAAAAAAACTTGCATCACTGATTATGCAAGCTTGAACTTCCTAGAGGTCAAAGAAGCAGTTAATCTTGATAAAATGATGTCCATTGGGTGACAAGTAGAAATGCCTAAACAACACAAACAATTATCTTCCCTGTTTTTACTAAACTCCAACAGAAATATCAATTTCAATACATTAAAAATATGTTAAATATTATGAATACGTTTAATTTATTGATTAACCAAGGCAATAGATATAATGGTTTTGATTTATTAAAGGAGATATTGTGTTATTAAGTAGATGATTTAATATAATGGGAAATAGATAACTCTTAGGAAATAAAATAAGATTATATTCAAATAGGTAAAATATGTATTTTGGATATTATAGTTTGTTATGAAGTGAGATAAGGGAAATTTTGGTTACCCGAAGTCTGAAAATTATAAATATCAAAGGTTAAATTAGAATATTGATAAGAAATTAAAAACTGAGTAAAAATCAATAACAGAATATGGACTGTTTATGAAGATTGAGTGTATTTAAGATATGTACAAGCTAAAAATGTATTGATAAATGTAATAATGATGTTCTTATTGAATTGATATAATTAGAAATGTACTAACCTGAATATGAGACAGTAAATGTTAAGGGAAAAAGAGAAGAAATATTTGATGTTGTAACCTGAGATTTGCACTAAGATTTTGTTATTGAACTATTCTAATCCAGTCACCATGTTGCTTTTTAAATATTCAAATGTAAAACTGGAAAATTAATAAAATATTATAAAAAATATTTCTGTTTGTCAAAAAATAATAATGAATAATATTGTACACCACCCAGAGTTACTTCCTGTGAGATGAGTAGGCATCTCACATTTTGGTCACCACGATGTAAAAAAGATGTTGAGACTCTAGAGAGAGTACAGAGAAGAGCAACAAAGATGATTAGGGGACTGGAGGCTAAAACATATAAGGAACGGTTGCTAGAATTGGGTATGTCTAGTTTAACAAAAAGAAGGACAAAGGGGGACATGATAGCAGTATTCCAATATCTCAGGGGCTGCCATAAAAAGAGGGAATCAAGCTATTTTCCAAAGCACCTGAAGGCAGGACAAGAAGCAATGGGTAGAAACTAATCAAGGAGAGAAGCAACCTAGAACTAAGGAGAAACTTCCTGACAGTGAGAACAATTAATCAGTGGAACAACCTGCCTCCAGAAGCCGTAAATGCTCCAACACTGGAAGTTTTTAAGAAGAGACTGGACAGCCATTTGTCCGAAATGGTGTAGGGTTTCCTGTCTGAGCAGGGGGTTGGACTAGATGACCTCCAAGGTCCCTTCCAACTTTACTACTACTACTACTACTACTACTACTACTACTACTACTACTACTATTATTATTATTATATAAATTTGATTAATTAATGAATAAATTCAATAGTTTGATATGGTGTTAAAAGGGTCTGAAATTATTCACCTCCACAATGTTAAAACTAAATACTGGTAAAGCTAAGAATTAATGAACATAAAAAGTGCATATCTATCAGCAAGGTAATTTTTTGGAAATGGAATCCTAAGTCATCAAAAAAAGATAAAAGCTATAGATAATGTTAAAGCTCTCTTGCTCTACTGCTGAATTAACAATTAGCAAAGGGGAGTCGGTTTCTGTCTCATGATAGCTATCTGCAGTCTGAAGCATATTAGTAGGGGCAATGTAAAAATGGGAAGTGTGTCCATGAATGTGTCTATGTACAGAATATAACATTCAGAGGAGAAAGATGTCGATATCTTGGCCTTTGGCTATAATAATAAATTGATTGATTGATGATGATATTTTTGGAACAAGAAAAAAATACTCATAATCCAAAGAACAATGAAACTGATTTCAAGATCTGGGGTAGGCAACATTTTAAATGAAAGAAGATTAACTATAATACTGCATACAACAATATGAAAATCAGATTTTCTTGGAAAAATAAGGCACAATACTGATCAGTTCACTGGATTTAATCTCAAAGCTGTGCCATGATATTTAGTTCCCTGAAATGGAGACGTTGCCTCTTCTTCATCCCAATCATATCTGTTTTACAAAGACAGAGAGAATAAAATCTTTGAGTTAAGTTTAATACTCACGTTTTTATCTTAACAATATGTGCTATGAGCTTATTGTAAGATGTGATATGTTTACAGATAGTCCTCAACTTACGACCTCAATTGAGCCCAACATTTGGTGTTAAGTGAGACATTTGATAAGTGAGCTTTGCCCCATTTTACAACTTTTCTTGCCACAGTTGTTAAATGAATCACTGCAGTTGATAAATTAGTAAACTAGTTGTTAAGTGAATCTGGCTTCCCCATTGATTTTGCTTGTCAGAAGCTCACAAAAGGTGATCACATGAGCTTGGGACACAGCAACAGTCATAAATATGAACCAGTTGCCAAGCATCTGAATTTTGATGACATAATCATGGGGTTGCTGCAAAGGTCGTAACTATGAAAAATGTT